ATTTGGGTTAGATTTATTGATTTTTTTTATGAATTTCATCCTTTAATTTTTAATTTTATATTATTTTATTATAAATTAGTAAAATTTTGATTTTATTGATTTGATTTTACGATTTCGATTTTACTTAATTGAAAACGATTTTAGGTAAAATCTCGATTTTGACAAAACTCCTCCAATCAAACTCAAATCAAGACTGCCTATCGCTCCCTGCGGAAGCGCTGCCATCCCGACATCGCCGGACCTGCCGGCCACAACATGGCCATCATTCTCAATGAAGCTTACTCTGTTTTATCCAATCCCACCGCTCGTTCATCTTATGACAAGGTTACTCATTTCTGGGTCCAATCGATATAATCAGTTTCAAATCAATTCCCTGATGAAATTAAGAAAAAACGCATTTGAAATTTTGGGATTTTTCTTGCTTATGAATTTGGGTTTGGGGTACAGGAGCAAGCAAAGATTGAAGAGCTGAGGGGATATACGGGAAAACCCTTGTACTCTATTTGGTTGGGTTCTGAAAATGAGCGAAGAGCAGTGTTTGTTGATGAAGTGAAGTGTGTGGGTTGCTTGAAATGTGCCTTGTTTGCGGAGAAGACATTTGCCATTGAATCAACATATGGAAGAGCAAGGGTCGTGGCTCAGTGGGCTGACCCCGAACACAAAATCCAAGAGGCTATTGGATCATGTCCTGTTGATTGCATTTCGTAAGGATCTCAATATTTGCCTTTTGATTTTGATTTTGATTGATTCATAGTGGCTCAAAAAAGTAGTACATTATTTTTACTTTTTGGAAAGCAATTACTTATAGCTAAATACTGATGGTGGTGAACTTAATCATAGGATTGTAGAGAGATCAGAGCTTGCTGCCCTTGAGTTCCTAATGTCCAAGCAGCCACGTGGCAACGTAACAGTGGGTGCCGAAAACACTGTAGGGGCACGTGTCTCGAATATATTTGATGATGTCAAGAAGTTTCAACAGAGATTTGTTGATGCCGTGGACAAAGCTGCTATGAAAAATTTCAAGGTATGAGAATGAGACTGTTGTATAGGGAGATTTCTATCACCATTACTATGGACAATTGAGGTTTCCTTCTAGGATTTGCAATTCTAATTGATTTTGTTTGTTAGAAAATGATAACAAGAATGGCAATTTATTATGTCTTTTGAGGTGATTCTCGAAAGAGATTATTAGCATTTTGTCTCTGTTTTTTCTATATATTTATCAAAGGCTCATGCTGTCAAACACCAGAAGTAATTTGGGTTTTTTCCAGGAGGAAAATGGTTATAGGGAAGAAAGGATGTCTGCAATCCAAGCAATCAAATCATTTTCAAAATGGTTATATTGGAAACCACCAAATGTGGGAGGTTCCATGTCAGAATGTCATCAAAACTTGACACGCATTCCCCAAAAGTCAAAGGAACAAGATATTAACAAGCTCCGAGATGCTGCTGCTGCTCGCAAACAAGCAAGAAATAGCTTGAGAACAATCAGCAACCGGAATCAATCAAACAGTTTGTATCATGACGAGTACTGGATTCCCTCAAGACAAGCCCTTCCTGCCTCAATTGATGGTTTCAATGATACTTCTAAAGTTGCTTCAAAGCCTTTGCATACCATAAAACTGAAGGAAAAAGATGACCAAGTTCACAATGAACATGGAAAAGAAAGGAGGAACAGCTTTGAGTGGGGACTTCTAGTGATGACAGCAACAATTGCTGGTAGTTATGGTACGATTACAAGTTGCAGGCAGAGTGGTTAGTGAAGTAGAAGAACATATAGGTGGTTCTTTGGCATTAACAATAGTTAATAGCTCTTGGATGCAGGTTCTACTAGCAGGGATTACATGGTATTGCATTGGAATTGCAATAGTAGAATTAGTAGAAACTCTCTGGAATAGGTGAGAGAAGTATACAAAGAAAGGACACTGTTAATGAAAACAACTTCATTTGCCATTATAAATACTTGCAACAGCAATTGTATTGAACATTTGTATCAACAATAATGAATGTTCATTTGCCTGAATCTAAAGGCTTGAACCAAAATAAGATGGATAACACTTGATGTCCACAGTATATATTAGCATGCTCATGCAAATTATGAACAATATATTCACAAAATAACATAAAAGAGCACATCTTCATTAAGGAAATTGACAAAATTCGCCAACTTTGAATCATCATTTCTTACAAGGTAAACACCCTTGCTTGTTAAACAAATAAAGGATCCATGCATCTATAGTACCATAGTATTTTCTTCGCCAGTTCACACTGAAGAAAAGTGGTGCAATGACACTCCAAAATCCAATCGAATATGATATAAACACAAATGAATAGAAAACCAAAGGTTCATGAAGAACTCCTTTTTCTTCCTTCTCATTCAAATCATGTCTTCTTCCATCATCTTTGTGGAAATTATTTGGGCATTCTTTTTGGATTTGTTCCCCACAGAGTCTTGGGTTGCCCATAAAGCTACTTTCGCTGAATGTTGAGAGCTGTTGATCAAATGGGATCCTGCCTGAGAGGTCATTAAAGGCAACACAAAAAGTTCCAAGGTACTTGATTTGGACAATCTGAAGGGGTATAGGTCCTGTTAGCCTGTTGTGGGAGAGGTCTAAACTCTCCAAATTTGAGAGGTTTTGGAAGGATGTTGGAATATGACCGATTAAAAGATTGTGAGACAAGTTCAAAGAATGGAGTTCAGATAATTCACCAATTTCAACAGGAACCTCACCGCCTAACTAGTTATCTGAGAAATCAATACCAGTCATAAGAGTGAGAGGAATACCTTGGAAAGAATACGAATTGCCCTTGGTGGTGAAATCAATTGGAACCCAAGAGTCTGCTTGAAACTTCTTTCTCCAGACTCAATTGTTTCCAAGGTAAGAAGGAACGTTCCCAGAGAAGCTGTTTTTGGAAAAATCTAAGAACTGCAACTTTTGCATTGTGCAAAGTTGCCTGGGAATGTACCCTCCGAAATCATTTCCTCCCAAAAGAAATGCTCCTAGTTGCTTGAAAACAAGTAGTTGGCCTGAAATAGTTCCGGACAGCAAGTTTTTTCTTATATCTAGCAGCATCAAAGACAGACTGCTCAATAAACACAGTGGCAAATTCCCATTGAACTGATTGTTGTGCAATAATAACCATCTCAGTTGTGTCACATTACAATCTTTTGGAAGCATCTCCCCGATCAAGCTATTGTTTGATAGATTCAAGTACCATAGAGGGGAGTTTTGGGTTAGGCCACTTGGAATAGCTCCAGAGAGGAGATTGTTAGATAAGTCCAAGTGTTCCAGATTTTTCAATTCACCTAACGAGGAGGGAATGCTACCAAAGAACATATTGGAGGATGCATTGAACCTATAGAGCTTGGGAAGAGACAAATTGGTGTCTAAGGGCAGTCTCCCTGCAAAATGATTATCTGAGATATCTAGTTCAACAAGTGTGGATACAATATTTTGCAAGTCTTGAGGAAATTGACTCAAAAAACAATTGCCTCGTAGCCTCAATACAGAAGAAGCATTATGAAGCATCCAAGAGGGAAAGTTTCTTGTAAGTAAGTTACTAGATAAATCTACAGTCTATAGGTTATTTTGGTTAAGAAGGAAACTGGGAATGTTCCGGCCAGTTTGGTTATGTTAGCGTGTGAGATCAAGTCTTTAATGTGACAGTTACATTTAGTTTATTTTACTTAGTGGTGTAGCAGTTTCTTTTTAGTTTGTAACTTCTTTTCATTTCAACAACTGTTATGTATAACTTTCTTTTCTTTAAAAAACTAATGTATGTCCGCTGCTATTTTCTGAGATATATCAGATACTATTCATGTATTCCAACAGTGTTCTATGTATTTCATAATTTCTCAAGTTAATCCTTGAGTTTATGTTCACTTTATGTTGTTTTTCACTTGAGTTTTCATCTTTACATCATCAGGTTATTGAGGTTGCATCCTGCCAAAAAGAGATGTTGTATTTGAAAGGAAGAGTGCCAACTTGGGGTTTCAGATTCCACTTCTAAATAGTGATTGTAAGAAAGATCTAGGTAAGAAAGCCTCGAAAGGTTTGCGAAAACAAAAAGTGGCACAATACCTTGAAAAAGGTTGTGAGAAACATCGATGTATTCTGCTTTTGAAAGATTAGCAAAGATGGAGGCAAGGTTCCCTTGAAATTGGTTCTTTGACAAATCTAATGTTCTCAGTGATGGCATGTTCCCCCAACATGGTTCCACAAAATCTTCTTCAATTGAGTTGGATGAAAGATCCAAACGTTGCAAGTAATCAAGGTTGCATAATGCTGCATCATGAGTCCAGAATTATGTTGTAAGTAATAGCTACACATAGGGACAATTAAAATTAAAGAGCATAAAGAATAAATTATTAAGAACCTCACCTTCAGGGTTAATCAATCCCCCAATGTTATTGCCTTTAAGATGTAACTCTTGCAATTCTTTGAGTTGAGCAAACAAACTCAAATCTGGAAACCATAACTCTTTATCTTCCCTAATATTTTCATAGAAAATCTTGACAACATGAGGGCTTGTGAGGCTACATTCAACTTCTTCCCACTTGCAACAATCATCAGAGTATTTGCTTGGATAAGGATATTCATCTCCAAAGCCCATAGATTCTATTATTTGCTCAAGAGCTCTCCCCTCGTCATCTAAGCAACCTCTGCACCATCCGTTGTTGTGAAAGACTATCAGCACTACAAACAAAAACAACTCAATAACATTAGCATAGAAAATTGCCATATTGGCAAATTATGCAGTTTTAGCTCTCTCTTTCTCTCTCCTTACACTAGTAAATTACCCCCTGTTCCTAAGCAAGATAAACTAAAAAAAAGCACCAACGTACAACAGTGTTTCATTCTAGTATTCAAGCAGAGGAAATGAAGAGTGGTAGAAAAGCCTGAGATTTGCACTAGAGAGAGAGAATTCATTTAATTTCGTGGATATGTCATTTCTTATGTTATCCCTGTATTGCATAGAAATTGGATCTAAACTATGTATTTGGACATGTCAATAAGAAAGTTTCCTTGTTACCACTAGAGGACCAATGGAAGACTAGGGAAGTTGCATGAAAGCTCACAAAGTTCCTTTTTTATCAAAAGGGACCAGTAGCATGCACGCAAAGACTTTGACTTTGAATGTAAATGATTCGTGTAATCCAACTACCAAATTCTTTTCGCCAACCAATTGATTTTCTACTTTGAAAATGTATATCTCTATTTGTTTCTTTTTCCTATCCATACTGGACAACCAGAGAGAGACAAATGAAGGTTCATCGCAGCAAGTAGACATGGTCAAATTATTGATTTAATTACCATAGAAATTTCACTTGACATGACTGGCAGAAAAAGAAAAACTTTGATATATGCAAACTAGATAAGAAATGACACCTAATTAGGAAGCTCAACAATTTTCATGAACAAAGAAACTTTTCTCATGGAGATTACATTTACTTACAATTTCTTCTTGTTCTTTCTCTTGCTTATATGCCTAAAGTGCCATGGTTGCATGGATGAAGAAAGGGATGCTCTCGTGCAAATCAAAAGTTCAATAAATAGTCCACAGGGAACTGCTTTTTCAAGTTGGTATGGGGAAGATTGTTGCCAGTGGGAGGGTGTTGAGTGCAATCCATCGACAACTCGTGTCGTTAGGATCAGCTTTCACCATAGGAGGGATCAAAGCTTGCCTGAATTATGGTACCCAAATGCTACCTTATTTGCTCAGTTTAAGGACTTGCGAGAACTTGAACTACCTGGAAATCAAATTGGGGGACTCATTTCGCCCAACGGTAAACACTGTGAACTATATGTTCTTTGTTTCTTCTTGCTGCTAACATTTGTTAAAAATGGGGAAAAAAGAGTAGAATAAAAAAGAGGAAAAATTGAGAGGAATTTTTTTAAAATATTTTATTTTAATATTGAAACAAAATTGAACAAAGTTAGATAAAGATATATGTTGCTCAAGATTTAGGATGCTTATGTAACCTTTTTAATTAATCGGTAAGATTTAAGGTGTAAAGTATTAAAATTTTCTCTCTATATATCAATACCATCTATCCTATTCAAATTTCACAATAACCCACTAAACAATATTCTAATTTTATGGATGAAACATGCAGAGCTTGGACGACTAAAGCAGCTTCAGAAGATTGATGTCCATGACAACTCCATACAAGTTGGTTCACATCTCTGTTGGGGGAAAATTCCTTCACTTCGTTTCCTAGATTTGTCAACAAACAAGTTAGAAGGTGACATTCCAAAATGCCTGTGTGAGAATCTTCATGTCAAAGAGCTATTTCTGTCTGACAACTTTCTAATCGGAAACATTGACGCATGCTTGAGAAATATGACTTCACTTGAATACGTAGATCTCTCTGATAATAGTTTCAATGGTTCCCTTCCTTCATTATCAATTAGCAACCTAACAAATATTCAGTCAGTTATTCTCTCAGGAAATGAGTTCAAGGGCAGGATTTCACTTTCGCACTTTGCAAATTTATCGAGGCTAAGTTACCTTGACATCTCATGGAATTCCTTGGAAGTTGAAACTGAGTCCATAACTTGGGTTCCATCTTTCAATCTGTCTGTGCTAAATTTAGCCGCTTGTAACCTCAAGACCATCCCCAGCTTCATTTCCTCACAGAGGCACTTGGAATCACTAGATTTATCATGCAATTCACTCATAGGGAAGATTCCTTCATGGATGCTTGACAATGTCTCTAAAAAATTACAGCTAAGAAGAAATGGTTTCATAGGACCATTTCCTAAGTCCTTTCAGAACAGTTCACAGCTTACTGAACTTGACATCTCTGATAATCTTTTATCAGGGTCATTTCCTGAAGATATTGGTCTCAATTTTCCAGAATTGCAGAGTCTAAATGCTTCATGGAATAATTTTAGTGGCAAGCTTCCTCCATCCTTTGTTAGAATGAGACAGCTTCTGTTTCTGGAATTATCAGGCAATCAATTCCATGGAGAAATCCCTTATGGCATGACGAGCAATATGAGCTCTCTTCAATATTTGGGATTATCTCGAAACAACTTGACAGGAGACGCACTTCCAAAAAATTCCAGCTTGCCTAAGTTGAGGTGGCTTTATCTTCACGGAAATCACTTCACTGGAAACTGTTAGCGTGTGAGATCAAGTCTTTAATGTGGCAGTTACATTTAGTTTATTTTACTTAGTGGTGTAGCAGTTTCTTTTTAGTTTGTAACTTCTTTTCATTTCAGCAACTGTTATGTATAACTTTCTTTTCTTTAGAAAACTAATGTATGTCCGCTGCTATTTTCTGAGATATATCAGATACTGTTCATGTATTCCAACAGTGTTCTATGTATTTCATAATTTCTCAAGTTAATCCTTGAGTTTATGTTCACTTTATGTTGTTTTTCACTTGAGTTTTC